CCCCAAAACCCCAAAACCCCAAAACCCCAAAACCCCTCCCCAGAAATAAAAAATTGAACTAAAATGGGTACCAAATCAAAAAAATCCAAAAGATCAAAACTCCCCAAAAATTCAAAATCCCACTCCAAACCTCCCTCCTCTCCACCCCCCAAAGACCCATCTACATACAAAAAATTCCCTCTTAAGGCCCCAAATCCCCAAAATTCTCCATCCAAAAACAAGCTCTCTCACTTATCCAAGGTACTATATCCCAAGCCTTCCAAGCCACCACTCAGGCCACAGCTAATTTTGGTCTTTTTCTATTACCACATTTAGACTAGAAATTGAGTTAGATACTGATAATAGTGACAGGGTCTTAGTGAAGTCAGGGAGAAAGGGGATTTTAGCACAGAAGAGGGGTTATGGAGGAGGGATTGGGGGTATAGGGCTGAGCTTAGTGGGCTGGAAGGGTGCTTTAATGGTTCTTAGGGAGTTGTGGAGGGGATTTAGGGGGGTTTTAAGTGAATGAGTAGGAATTTGACATTTTATAGGTGCTCAAGGTGGTTGAAGAGCAAGGGATTGGGTGTAATTGGGTGGATGTAGCTAAGGTGATAGAGAAAGAAGCAAATCAAAGGGTTTATGGGAAGGTTGTACAGGGAATTGTAAGGATATCAAGTGCAGATAGGAAAAGAGTCAAGTCTATAGATCCATTAGTAGCAGAGATGAAAGCAATCGAGAGGGAGAGAATGGTCAGGAATGATATATTAAAGATGCATTTGAAATAATGAAATTAAAAGACAAGAATATATGGAAATAAAGTATCTTGATTTTTATCTCTTAACTTTTATAGGAAAAATTAAGAAGGGATCCTTTAATGATCTTCGAGAATTAAATAATACAGTTGCTGAAATGCCACTTGCAGATATTTCAGGAGTTGTAAGTCCATTGCTAATTTAAAATAGAACACTTACAGTCCAGGAAGTTTTAAAGGTTTTAAATAAAGTGTTATTCAGGTCAAAATCTAAAGAGGAGAGGTACAAATTTTCCAATGTAAAATTACTCTAAAATGTAGAAATTGATGTCCAAACTAAAGCAGAAAAAGTTAGAACTATCCCAATTGAGAACTAAGAGACTTCAAAACCAACAGACTCGACTCCAAAAGGAAATAAAACGCCAGGAACAAATGGAAAAGAAAAAGAAGGATGAGATGCAAAAGAGCATTCTCAGTAAACTTGATGAGATGCAAAGAAAAAGGAGCCATGAGAGAGAAGAACGACTCAGAATGACAGTAAGTTTCCCTGACTAATCTTGTAGAAAGAATGGGAAATTAAGCACAGAGATATGGTCAGTGAGAATTTACTCTACAAAAAAATTTCAAAATAAAGATGATAAACTTCTAAATCGAGACTTGTCTTTTGATAGATTGGAGAGTAAGAGTACTATGCAAAGACACCAGCCTCTTGGTAAATGTGATCAGAGTGAAATATAGACCATGATGAACTCAAAGTGTTTGAAAAGGATTACTTAAAGAGGAAGAAATCTAACATAAAAGCTAGGAAGAAAACAAGACTTCTAGAGCTTAAAAATATCGATAAACTAGACCTTCCAACTAGTAAAAAGTGGATGGAAGTTAAGAAACGAGAGGAAAGGGAAAAGAAACATGCTGAAGAGAAGGCAAAAGAAGCATTCAATTTAGCCTTAAAGAAGCTTAGATATTCAAAAGAAGTCAAAGCATCATATTGGCCAGAGGTTTCAAAGACAAAGAGACAAGAAATTCTTAATAGAAATTTTGAGCATGCCTTAAAAACTACCAGAAATGGAAAGGCAGAAGGTCTAGATTTAAGCTCTGATAATCAGAATAAAGCTGGAATAAATAATTATATTGTAAAAACAGCTAGGAGATTAGGAGAAAGACAGAATATTTCAAATCTTCCCTCATTCCAGAATGATAAAGTAATTGTTTCGCTTATCTTCATAGCTTGTAAATCTGAAGAAGAAAAGTCTCTTGAAAAACAATGCTACAAGAACAGAAAAAGACAGGTCTCATGCTAAATCTGTAGGAGAGAGGAATATTCCCAAAGACTATCTCAAAATGATGAGAGATAAGAACAAGGACAATCCTAGCACTCGTAATCTAGCTTCTGAGAGACATATTAAAGACTGGAAGAAATCTATGAATAAAAAGAATTATGATGACTTCACTAAAGTTGAAATGATGAAAATGAAGTCAAAGCAGATAGATCAAGTGTATAAGATGAAGGAGGAGTCCTACAGAAATGATCATGTTTCTTTTGATCAAGCTCATGAGCTGAACAACATACTAGTCAACTCTATTGAGGCAAAATTATCAGCACTGAAAAAGTTAGAGTTTCAATAAGCAGATTTATTTCAATTATTTAAAATGATAAAGGGGTTTTGGGGTTTTGGGGTTTTGGGG